GTATTTTTATGAGTTGACGGTGTCTCTTTGTTTTTGTTTTTTTTTTAAAGTATTATGATCAGAGGTATTTAGATCAGTTTATGTACGCATCCACTAAGTTTCTCCTCGGTNTTTTAATGTATTTTTATGAGTTGACGGTGTCTCTTTGTTTTTGTTTTTTTTTTAAAGTATTATGGTCAGAGGTATTCAGATCAGTTTATGTACACATCAACTAAGTTTCTCCTCGGCNAGGTTGGCCACGATATTCTTAACAACTTTGTGACTCCTTTTAATGTATTTTTATGAGTTGACGGTGTCTCTTTGTTTTTGTTTTTTTTTTAAAGTATTATGATCAGAGGTATTTAGATCAGTTTATGTACGCATCCACTAAGTTTCTCCTCGGTCTAGTGAAAAACAAGTTTTTAACGTCGAAACTACAGAATTGACTTAGAGATAAATTATAATGGTGTGACCCCAAGAGATTTATCGAGTTTCGAATTCGGTATGTTTGTTTTATTTTTCTTACAGACAGTGGCAACTAGCAAGTGACACTAGTTAAAACCAAGGGTNTGACCCCAAGAGATTTATCGAGTTTCGAATTCGGTATGTTTGTTTTATTTTTCTTACGGACAGTGGCAACTAGCAAGTGACACTAGTTAAAACCAAGGGTAAAAAAAGCAGGAAGTTGCACACACCGTTCCCAACCTCCGGACGATGCCCTCTAGGCGCCGATTGCTGTGTTAGCGGAAATTACACTTGCACCCCTATTCCATCTCATGAAGTTTCAGAATTGCATTTTGTCTCATGAAACTCGATATCAAATGTTCTATTCACTTACAATTCTGAATGTGAGGGCAACAATCATTTCGAGATTCAAGGATAATCACATGAATACAGGGAACGTTTCAACTACTCGAACATCTGACGCTCAAATTATTCTTGTGCAATTTTACCACTGCATCAACATCTACTTTTTTCGTGATTGAAAATGAACAATTTTTTAAAATCTTTTGTACCCTTTGTGTCTTAATCCTAAAAATATAAAATAAACTTGATTGTTTTTTTAATGATTTTGAAGTGAACTTGTCATGGTACAGAACAATGGTACAAAAATTATTTCATCAATTTTCTTACTTAAATGTTAAGTAAGGGAATTTTTTTTTTTTAAGGAGGAGGGGGGGTAAGTGTCTCTATTATGAGAAGGCTCCAAACAGGTTGGCCAACTATGTAGCATTATCATTATAGCAGAGAATATTCGTTTTGGCCTAAACACAAAAAACTTTTATTTTTTCCTGCCGTAGCTTTCTTGGAAGTTGCCTGGAAACGNGAGAAGGCTCCAAACAGGTTGGCCAACTACGTAGCATTATCATTATAGCAGAGAATATTCGTTTTGGTCTAGACACAAAAAACTTTTATTTTTTCCTGCCGTAGCTTTCTTGGAAGTTGCCTGGAAACGATCCTCTTTTGTACTATCCCTGATAAGGGGAGTTGCTTGTAGTGGCTCACATCCCTTCGGAATGGAAATGAGTCCCAGTGGCCCCGGCTGGTAGTTCCATTTTGGTTAAATCTCATTTTATACCCCCTTAAAAGTTTTTACTTGATCCTTAAATTATCGGCTAAATTCAATCAAGTTTCTGAACCGTAAGTCACGTTGCAATCAAGTCCTTATGTCCAAATTGCATAGCCAAGTCTTCGAGTGAATGACCGACGCATCACGTGCTCACCAGCCCCACATTTGACTGACTTGCCTCTAGGTCTTCAAATATTCGGTGTTAACTCATCTTATATAAATTTGACTTAGAGTATTGAATGAATAGCAAAGACTTATGTGATGTACGAGATTTAAATTGTCTCGGGCTCCACCCTTAGAACGAATCTATTCTCCACCCTCCCCCACCTAGGGTTGATAATCTTGTTAACTGAGTTGAGTTTATTGAATATCCACTCCACACTGATCTTTTATGCTCACAGTTCTCACTCTCAACATCTCTAAGTTTAGAATAAATAATACCCCCTCTTTCATCTTTAAATATGCTTTTAATAATTAATTAATATATAATTCATTGACTCTCGTACTGTCTCATACGATTTTTCAAATCAGATTAGCATTGGGAACTTAATAATAAAACATTTATATGTGACTCGATCCCCGTGCCACGGTCGATGACGACAAAAATGCTAAACAACGGGATGAATTCGTAGGTACATACAATCTTGTATAAAAACTATTCACATGATTTACTCAAAAATTGACGACAAAACGAGATCGAGGCGTCAATTTTATTTTGGGGTGTAATGTTTGATTGACAAAAATATTATCAATTGATATGGAGTGATTTGATAGTGGTTTTTTGTTTCACGTTTCTTCATTCAAAATTCAAAATTTGATTGGTTATGTCAGTGTCACAAACGATTATTTGGTTTTTATTTTTATTCTATTTTTTGTGGATCTAAATTACTAGTCNATTTTATTTTGGGGTGTAATGTTTGATTGACAAAAATATTATCAATTGATATGGAGTGATTTGATAGTGGTTTTTTGTTTCACGTTTCTTCATTCAAAATTCAAAATTTGATTGATTATGTCAGTGTCACAAACGATTATTTGGTTTTTATTTTTATTCTATTTTTTGTGGATCTAAATTACTAGTTGTTTAATTACAAATTAAAATCATCTCTTCCGTTACGCAATATGAATGATGGGGACAATTTGAAGTACCAGCAAACCGTTGAATTCAAATCGTTATTTCGTTGAATTAATGGTAGAATTTAGAAGACTCTTTCACGAGATAGTACCTTTTATGTCTTTGGAAGTTTATCACTCACCACCAGATATACCTTCTTTCCAAGCCTGCGTGCTCCAAATCTCGGTAACCTTGATTATAAATGGATGAATCATATATTATTAATTTGTAAAAATATATTATATTTAAGTATAGTTTACGAGGGACAAGCGTCCTATCTCGATCCATAATATAAAAGATATATATCAAGACTCACGTCAATGAATAGTCTTGAAAATAATCTCACTATTACAACAAAGCTTACCCTACTCTAACTATAATTTAGTATCTACAATACCGAACTCCCTTCGTCAACTACATCCAAAGATACTTATCCTTAATCTTAACAATTCGTTAAAGTTAAGTTATAATAAATTTGTCTCTCATGAATNCTATTACAACAAAGCTTACCCTACTCTAACTATAATTTAGTATCTACAATACCGAACTCCCTTCGTCAACTACATCCAAAGATATTTATCCTTAATCTTAACAATTCGTTAAAGCTAAGTTATAATAAATTTGTCTCTCATGAATATTTTAATTTGATATAGAAAACTTATTTTTGATCAAATAAAAAAAAATTATTTAAGATTTACGTAAGTTTTTTTTTTTTTTTTTGATCCAAAGGTGTACATCAGTTAACTAAAATACATTAACCGTTGAAAAAAAAAAAAAAGCTTAAATCCTTCAGCAGGTGCGCCCAGGGACAAAGGTCGCAGAAAGGCACAATTATGCCCACAAGGGATGTCTTGATCNGTTTTTTTTTTGATCCAAAGGTGTACATCAGTTAACTAAAATACATTAACCGTTGAAAAAAAAAAAAAAAAGCTTAAATCCTTCAGCAGGTGCGCCCAGGGACAAAGGTCGCAGAAAGGCACAATTAAGCCCACAAGGGATGTCTTGATCAGTAGACCAGGTCAAACGGCGCGTGACTATCGAAGCCTTTACCTACGTAGTTAAAATCACGATAGTACAATTAATCGTTTATTCTTTTAAACTTATCACGTCCGTGTTATTATATTATATAATTGTTTAATTATAACACAATAAATGAATAAAATATATCATACTCTTTTAAATAATTATCCTTTGTAAAAAAAATATAATTAATTTTATCTATTTATTTATTTATTAAATTAATAAACAATTATAACCTATTATAATACTAACGTAATATAAGAATGATCGTTCTAGTGATAAGTATAAGAAAGTAAGCAATCACTAACCAAGGCTATGTTGGTAATATCACTCAATGTAATTAGACAATTATAAGTCTAACTTCGTGGGGCAGCGAAACAAAAGAAACGGTCCATCGTAATACCTTTAACAACCGCCATTAATTACTACTACAGATAGGAATTTCCCAAGTTTTAAAAGTTTTGTTTATTTTCTCAAAAACGCTATGGTACAAGCATCCTCACCAATATCCATGATCCTCCCCCCTTCGTGGGCCAATCACAGTATGCTGGACCACAATTAAATAAAAAAAAGGTGAAATTTTTGAAATTGAAATTTTTGTATAATTTTGGCTACCACCATTTTATCCATTCCTTATAAACGATTTGAAATTTATTTACTTTTTAGTTTTTTTGAATAATAAATCACTAATTATTTGTTAGTATGATGAACTTATTTAAATATAACACGCCTCATTTAAATTTGAAAATTTGATGCCTACTTTAAAAAAAATTATATTGCAAGAAATATTTTAGAGAATTTACAAAAAAGGCTATTGCAATTAGGGCTAATAATCGAACACTTGTTTTATGTGTTGGTTCGAACTCAACTCATTTTTTAAATTAATTGAACTTGAATAGTTTTTTTTAAATTTATTAAGAAAACAAGCTCGACAGACTCGTCTTGAATATAAACTTTAACCATGATGTCCTTCGTAACTATAAACATTTGATTGGGGTTTTAGTCAAAAGAGGATATCAAAGAATTGAGGATAAGATTATGGTATCTAAAAAAATTAGTCATAAATTAGCATTTTAACCATTGATCGTGAAATTAATAAAAAAAAAAAGTAGAATACTAAAATAATAATAAAATTACACGCGTCAAATTCACATTTATGGTAGTGAGAGGGTGTAGGCAACATAGTGTGTAGGCGTTCTGTATTGGATTTTGGTTTCGTTTTTCTTCTAATTCAAAACTAGGTGGAATTTGAAGGGTCTTGTCTGTAATTAGTATTTCATTATTTCTCTTCCCTGAAAATATCTTTTATTTTCCCTCTCCAATTTTCGGAACTCCAGTAGGAGAGAGAAAGAGGGACACCTATGTACTATAACTGTTGAGAGAGCGAGAACCACCAAACGGCTATAATTAACGTTTCCAAGTAGTGTCCCAGAGCGGAAATTAGAAGATAACCCAAAAGGAGGATGTGTTGTTTGTAGGCTGTATCATTACTGTAATTGGAAATGATTAGAGGGGTTTGATAAGGGTTTCTAAGGATTTGTATATACATAGTGCCTTCATAGAGGGAGAAGACTTTAAGAGAGAGAGAGAGAGAGAGAGAGAGCGAGAGAATCGGAGATAGAGAAGGGGTTTTGAATCGGCATTTGTGGGGATCTCTATATTTTGGATCCTCATGATGCCTGATGGTTATTACAGTTCGAAAAAGAGTGATGATATATGTGAAGACGTTTGTGGCCAGGTATGTCCTTATTGCTCGAATAAAGCTTCTTACTTCCAAATTCTTATTTGTTTTGCTTGTTACGAGTTTGGTTTTGTTCTTGAATGTTGAGGATTGCATATGTTCATGGTTTTTATGGATTGAATAGAAGTGGGTCTTTCTTTGGCTGGCCAAACTGTTGCTTCTTACACAGGAATGGTTGATTAAATATAAACCCTAGAAATTTGGATTGATTGGTTTGTTTTTGCTTGGGATTTTTGTTTTCCTGCATAAATTTGTATCGCAATTTGATTGAGTGAGCGAATTCATGGGTTCTCTCTCTTTTTTTCTACTTGGCAAAGTAGTTGCCTTTCTGAAATTTTTCTGTTTGAATTTTGAAATGGATAATGTATTTGAAAGACATGTCGACATCTATGGTTCCAGATTTTGATTACGAAATTTCAAACGTTTTTGAGGGCCTTTACAAATTTACCAAGGTTGTAAGGTTTTACACAACTCAACAAGGGATTAGGGAACTTTTTTTTTTTTCATGGACATGTAGTAGAAATTAAATAAAAATTAGGGTCTGCTAACTGGAAATTCTATGGTTTATTCCATCTGGGTATCTTAGAAAGTTATTAATTTTAATCTGCAGCAGGCAACATGTACAGCATTGAGCATGTCAAGACTCCGATGTTTGCTTCAGGGCCTCGATTTAAAGACCTTCATATTTTTGTTTGTAATCGTGCCAACTGGCATTGTTGGTATATATTTTCATGGTCAGAAGATTACATACTTCCTACGGCCTCTGTGGCAATCTCCTCCAAAGCCTTTCATTGAGATACCCCACTATTATCATGAGAATGTGTCGATGGAGACTCTTTGCAAACTTCATGGTTGGGGAATTCGTGATTATCCAAGGCGGGTTTTTGATGCAGTTCTATTTAGCAATGAAGTTGACATGCTTACAATCCGATGGAAAGAATTGTATCCTTATATCTCACAGTTTGTTCTTCTCGAATCAAACTCAACGTTTACTGGTTTGCCCAAGCCATACTATTTTGCTATTAATAGGGATCAATTCAAATTTGTTGAGCCTCGGCTGACTTACGGGACAATTGGGGGAAGATTTAGGAAAGGTGAAAACCCATTTGTGGAAGAGGCATATCAGAGAGTGGCCCTGGACCAGCTTCTCAGAATAGCAGGTATAGAGGATGATGATATGTTGATAATGTCTGATGTTGATGAGATCCCCAGCAGCCACACAATCAATCTCTTGAGGTGGTGTGATAATGTCCCTCATATCCTTCACCTTCATCTAAGGAACTACTTGTATTCTTTTGAGTTCCATTTGGATCATAAAAGCTGGAGAGCTTCCGTCCACAGGTACCAGAAGGGTAAGACTAGGTATGCACACTATCGTCAGACTGACTTCCGCTTGGCAGATGCTGGTTGGCATTGTAGCTTTTGCTTCCGCCATATTAAAGAATTCATATTCAAGATGAAAGCTTACAGCCATAATGATCGTGTGAGGTTCTCTCATTACCTAAACCCCAAAAGGATTCAAGAGGTGATTTGCAATGGAGCTGACCTGTATGATATGTTTCCCGAGGAGTACACATTTAAAGATATCATTGGGAAGCTGGGACCTATTCCTCATTCTTATTCAGCGGTTCATCTTCCTGCCTATTTGTTGAACAATGCTGACAAGTACAACTATCTTTTGCCTGGGAGTTGCAGAAGAGAAGATGGCTGAGTTTCTCTTAGAATGAGGCGCTTTTTCTTTAGAAAATTTCTAGGCTTTAAGTTGCAGATTTTGTGTTGCACCATGAAAGGACCTTATGGGGTGTCTGATGACTGTTGTGTTTAACTAATAGATACAAGTATACCAGTTATCCAACAAACTAGGTCATTTTTTTAGAGAAATTCCGGTAGACTTGGTGGGTTCTTGGATTATTGGGGTTTAACTTGTACATTTTCTGTTTAATGGTCTTGAGTTCTTCTCGGATGGAGGCAAATACTTTTGCCAAGTGAAGAGTTGAGACCCTGAAATTGCAGCAGAATGACATTTTCTCATGCTTTTCTACTATGGGTTCCATTTTCCTCCCTTTTCTATTCTGTTCCATTTTTTCCTCCAAAAAAACCTTATCTATTGGTATATTTCTACGCCTTTTGCTTCCGTGTGATGGGACTGACCATCCATTAATCCTAATCCAGATTTTATCTGTTTTCCATGCTACCTAGATCATAACAGATTTGTTGAGGTGAGGGAGTGGCTTCATGATAAGGGCTCTCTTTTTTTTTTTTTTTTTTTTTTGGGAGGGATAGAGAAAAAGGGAGACTTGAACCCTTGATTTCAAGAAGGTAAAATTTTCACAAGGTAAAAAATGTTATTAGACGAAAGACCCGTTGACTCAAAAGCTTTCACTTTTGCCAACAGGTGTTTGCGGGTTCCACTCCCATTACCTTCTCTTTTCTCTCCCTCTCCCCACAACAAAAAAGAAAAAAGAAAAAGAAAAAGCTAATACCAAAGAAAAACAATGTTCTTTGTTTCTTTAAGTTATTCATTTGTTATGCTCCATAGTCCATACCATTCTCTCAAGTTTATTATTGAGAATTGTACATTTGAGAGGTGAGATTTTTCTCATATCTAATTCTTTCCAATCTAATCAGCTATCACACATTGATAGCAGATTCACTTAAATATATCCCGAGGAAGGTAACACCTATAAAATATCATTAATTTTTTATCAATTTGTTTTAAAAAAAAAACAATATGTTTATGCAATAAGATTTCCACACCAAATGTTACCGCCACAAGGCATGTTCNGGAAGGTAACACCTATAAAATATCATTAATTTTTTATCAATTTGTTTTAAAAAAAAACAATATGTTTATGCAATAAGATTTCCACACCAAATGTTACCGCCACAAGGCATGTTTTTAACTTCTCAACAGCTTCCACGAAAGAGCACCCTTTTGTCAACTCCCCTCCCCTTTTTAAACTAAGGATCATTCATACCTATCTCTCTTTTAGGTGGACAACAAAGTACTTTAAACTCACTAAAGGTATTGTTAAATCTATTTGGGATATATAGTTCATGTCACCTAATGTGGTTATTCCCTTCTCCACTTCACCCTTATCAGCAGATTCAATGATAACCACATAATCCTCATATTGTGTTGTGTATAGAGCAACAAAGTGACTTGNGTGTTGGTTCGAACTCAACTCATTTTTTAAATTAATTGAACTTGAATAGTTTTTTTTAAATTTATTAAGAAAACAAGCTCGATAGACTCGTCTTGAATATAAACTTTAACCACNGTGTTGGTTCGAACTCAACTCATTTTTTAAATTAATTGAACTTGAATAGTTTTTTTTTAAATTTATTAAGAAAACAAGCTCGACAGACTCGTCTTGAATATAAACTTTAACCATNTGGTGGTGGAAGTCAATGACACGCCACTCAAATTTTCCGACCAAAACTCCTCTCTCTCTGTCGCCTAAAAGAAATTACATCTGCTGACCAGCTACCCACTCTGTAGCNTGGTGGTGGAAGTCAATGACACGCCACTCAAATTTTCCGACCAAAACTCCTCTCTCTGTCGCCTAAAAGAAATTACATCTGCTGACCAGCTACCCACTCTGTAGTNATGATGTCCTTCGTAACTATAAACATTTGATTGGGGTTTTAGTCAAAAGAGGATATCAAAGAATTGAGGATAAGATTATGGTATCTAAAAAAATTAGTCATAAATTAGCATTTTAACCATTGATCGTGAAATTAATAAAAAAAAAAAGTAGAATACTAAAATAATAATAAAATTACACGCGTCAAATTCACATTTATGGTAGTGAGAGGGTGTAGGCAACATAGTGTGTAGGCGTTCTGTATTGGATTTTGGTTTCGTTTTTCTTCTAATTCAAAACTAGGTGGAATTTGAAGGGTCTTGTCTGTAATTAGTATTTCATTATTTCTCTTCCCTGAAAATATCTTTTATTTTCCCTCTCCAATTTTCGGAACTCCAGTAGGAGAGAGAAAGAGGGACACCTATGTACTATAACTGTTGAGAGAGCGAGAACCACCAAACGGCTATAATTAACGTTTCCAAGTAGTGTCCCAGAGCGGAAATTAGAAGATAACCCAAAAGGAGGATGTGTTGTTTGTAGGCTGTATCATTACTGTAATTGGAAATGATTAGAGGGGTTTGATAAGGGTTTCTAAGGATTTGTATATACATAGTGCCTTCATAGAGGGAGAAGACTTTAAGAGAGAGAGAGAGAGAGAGAGAGAGCGAGAGAATCGGAGATAGAGAAGGGGTTTTGAATCGGCATTTGTGGGGATCTCTATATTTTGGATCCTCATGATGCCTGATGGTTATTACAGTTCGAAAAAGAGTGATGATATATGTGAAGACGTTTGTGGCCAGGTATGTCCTTATTGCTCGAATAAAGCTTCTTACTTCCAAATTCTTATTTGTTTTGCTTGTTACGAGTTTGGTTTTGTTCTTGAATGTTGAGGATTGCATATGTTCATGGTTTTTATGGATTGAATAGAAGTGGGTCTTTCTTTGGCTGGCCAAACTGTTGCTTCTTACACAGGAATGGTTGATTAAATATAAACCCTAGAAATTTGGATTGATTGGTTTGTTTTTGCTTGGGATTTTTGTTTTCCTGCATAAATTTGTATCGCAATTTGATTGAGAGCGAATTCATGGGTTCTCTCTCTTTTTTTCTACTTGGCAAAGTAGTTGCCTTTCTGAAATTTTTCTGTTTGAATTTTGAAATGGATAATGTATTTGAAAGACATGTCGACATCTATGGTTCCAGATTTTGATTACGAAATTTCAAACGTTTTTGAGGGCCTTTACAAATTTACCAAGGTTGTAAGGTTTTACACAACTCAACAAGGGATTAGGGAACTTTTTTTTTTTTCATGGACATGTAGTAGAAATTAAATAAAAATTAGGGTCTGCTAACTGGAAATTCTATGGTTTATTCCATCTGGGTATCTTAGAAAGTTATTAATTTTAATCTGCAGCAGGCAACATGTACAGCATTGAGCATGTCAAGACTCCGATGTTTGCTTCAGGGCCTCGATTTAAAGACCTTCATATTTTTGTTTGTAATCGTGCCAACTGGCATTGTTGGTATATATTTTCATGGTCAGAAGATTACATACTTCCTACGGCCTCTGTGGCAATCTCCTCCAAAGCCTTTCATTGAGATACCCCACTATTATCATGAGAATGTGTCGATGGAGACTCTTTGCAAACTTCATGGTTGGGGAATTCGTGATTATCCAAGGCGGGTTTTTGATGCAGTTCTATTTAGCAATGAAGTTGACATGCTTACAATCCGATGGAAAGAATTGTATCCTTATATCTCACAGTTTGTTCTTCTCGAATCAAACTCAACGTTTACTGGTTTGCCCAAGCCATACTATTTTGCTATTAATAGGGATCAATTCAAATTTGTTGAGCCTCGGCTGACTTACGGGACAATTGGGGGAAGATTTAGGAAAGGTGAAAACCCATTTGTGGAAGAGGCATATCAGAGAGTGGCCCTGGACCAGCTTCTCAGAATAGCAGGTATAGAGGATGATGATATGTTGATAATGTCTGATGTTGATGAGATCCCCAGCAGCCACACAATCAATCTCTTGAGGTGGTGTGATAATGTCCCTCATATCCTTCACCTTCATCTAAGGAACTACTTGTATTCTTTTGAGTTCCATTTGGATCATAAAAGCTGGAGAGCTTCCGTCCACAGGTACCAGAAGGGTAAGACTAGGTATGCACACTATCGTCAGACTGACTTCCGCTTGGCAGATGCTGGTTGGCATTGTAGCTTTTGCTTCCGCCATATTAAAGAATTCATATTCAAGATGAAAGCTTACAGCCATAATGATCGTGTGAGGTTCTCTCATTACCTAAACCCCAAAAGGATTCAAGAGGTGATTTGCAATGGAGCTGACCTGTATGATATGTTTCCCGAGGAGTACACATTTAAAGATATCATTGGGAAGCTGGGACCTATTCCTCATTCTTATTCAGCGGTTCATCTTCCTGCCTATTTGTTGAACAATGCTGACAAGTACAACTATCTTTTGCCTGGGAGTTGCAGAAGAGAAGATGGCTGAGTTTCTCTTAGAATGAGGCGCTTTTTCTTTAGAAAATTTCTAGGCTTTAAGTTGCAGATTTTGTGTTGCACCATGAAAGGACCTTATGGGGTGTCTGATGACTGTTGTGTTTAACTAATAGATACAAGTATACCAGTTATCCAACAAACTAGGTCATTTTTTTAGAGAAATTCCGGTAGACTTGGTGGGTTCTTGGATTATTGGGGTTTAACTTGTACATTTTCTGTTTAATGGTCTTGAGTTCTTCTCGGATGGAGGCAAATACTTTTGCCAAGTGAAGAGTTGAGACCCTGAAATTGCAGCAGAATGACATTTTCTCATGCTTTTCTACTATGGGTTCCATTTTCCTCCCTTTTCTATTCTGTTCCATTTTTTCCTCCAAAAAAACCTTATCTATTGGTATATTTCTACGCCTTTTGCTTCCGTGTGATGGGACTGACCATCCATTAATCCTAATCCAGATTTTATCTGTTTTCCATGCTACCTAGATCATAACAGATTTGTTGAGGTGAGGGAGTGGCTTCATGATAAGGGCTCTCTTTTTTTTTTTTTTTTTTTTTTGGGAGGGATAGAGAAAAAGGGAGACTTGAACCCTTGATCTCAAGAAGGTAAAATTTTCACAAGGTAAAAAATGTTATTAGACGAAAGACCCGTTGACTCAAAAGCTTTCACTTTTGCCAACAGGTGCTTGCGGGTTCCACTCCCATTACCTTCTCTTTTCTCTCCCTCTCCCCACAACAAAAAAGAAAAAAGAAAAAGAAAAAGCTAATACCAAAGAAAAACAATGTTCTTTGTTTCTTTAAGTTATTCATTTGTTATGCTCCATAGTCCATACCATTCTCTCAAGTTTATTATTGAGAATTGTACATTTGAGAGGTGAGATTTTTCTCATATCTAATTCTTTCCAATCTAATCAGCTATCACACATTGATAGCAGATTCACTTAAATATATCCCGAGGAAGGTAACACCTATAAAATATCATTAATTTTTTATCAATTTGTTTTAAAAAAAAACAATATGTTTATGCAATAAGATTTCCACACCAAATGTTACCGCCACAAGGCATGTTTTTAACTTCTCAACAGCTTCCACGAAAGAGCACCCTTTTGTCAACTCCCCTCCCCTTTTTAAACTAAGGATCATTCATACCTATCTCTCTTTTAGGTGGACAACAAAGTACTTTAAACTCACTAAAGGTATTGTTAAATCTATTTGGGATATATAGTTCATGTCACCTAATGTGGTTATTCCCTTCTCCACTTCACCCTTATCAGCAGATTCAATGATAACCACATAATCCTCATATTGTGTTGTGTATAGAGCAACAAAGTGACTTGGTGGTGGAAGTCAATGACACGCCACTCAAATTTTCCGACCAAAACTCCTCTCTCTCTGTCGCCTAAAAGAAATTACATCTGCTGACCAGCTACCCACTCTGTAGTCCTCTGGCCACTGCCTCTTTATTTAATTTTCTTCCGCTCATGATTCGTGCCTCTGACCTGTCACATAAATTCACATAGTTGTTCTCCCGGCAACGGCAAAATCAAAAATTTTGTTTAAAGTGAACAATTTAACTATAATTTTTTTTTTTATTTCGCTCAATAAAAAGTAACATTGCACATTTTAAACTTGTTATATTATATTTAATATTTGATATTCAAACATTCATTAGATACAAAATATTTCAATGTTGATATAATGTATGCAAAGAAAAACAATAAAAAGAGGTTAAATGCGATTATTTGTAATTGATCTCAATAAGTTTTCATATTTTAAAAACATTATATGATAACTATATTATCAATAATATAAATAATATTCTTCTCTATATAAATAATCAAAGCACTTTTTAAATTATGCAACTTAGCACTCACAATTTTCATAATTTAAAAAAATGAATTTAATATATCAAAACTTTGTCTAGACGTGTCCGTAAAGTATAGAATGTGTTCAAAATTTCATAGTTAATTAGGTATATATCTATACTACTTGATAGGAAACATCAATGAAAGGGTAGACATTCTGCCTCAAACAGAATTGCCAGGCCTTCTGAAGCTCATTGTGACCGGTTTCCTCTAACAAAATCTATTCTCATCAAGCGCAATCTACACTTATAAGCATGTCCTGCAACTTAAATTAAGGCATACCCTTCATATTCAAGATTAAGATACTGCACAAACATTTTTTTACACACACACACACAGAACTAATAAGTTCCGAATAGTTTCCATTTTAAGTGATTTATCAGGGTTCATGCAAATGACTTCAACGTCACAATATGCAACAGTCACTAAAAACACTTGAGAAACCCCAACAAAATTGGAAAAAAATACAGATGAAATTGACAAAAAAGAGGCTGAAACACAAATACATTCATGGAGTTACTAAGTTGCTGATTGTCATCGAAATTCCATAGCATTGCATGCCTCTAAGCCTTGTACAACTTAACTAAACTTGACGATAGCATGGGAATGGGGAAAGTCCCGATGACCCTTAAAACCAGGCTCTTCGTCGTTGAAACACATCCCTGAGGAATCAACAGGAGCATCTTTGACATTGGAGAACACAAAATTGGGATTTGATTGCCATTATTGAAAGCTTTTATCTTCACTATAACCGGTCTAACCAACCAAAAATACTGTCTTGAGAACCAAACTGCAAATCCTGCATGCATGGACAAGGAGTTTTACACATTACATAGATTATGAAGATGAGTTTAAGAAAAAGAGTGTGGGCCAAATTGCTCACTGCGAGATGAAAATCTGGTGGAGTATCCAATTCTAAGTTCTCAAGCTCAGCTATGCCAGAGGTAGCATTGCCATCTACTTCAGGCACCTCATTAGTGTTGCGAGGAAAGTCAGTGAAAGGGCCATGATTCAGTCCTGGATCATTAAGAAGGGCATAAGAATCGAAAACCTCATTGCATAACAAGGCGTCATCTAGGCCATTTATATTTACATCTTGTGGCTCTCCAGCCAACCAGGTGGGATATTCCATTTCATCCTTGATTTGTGCAGCAGATGAAGAAGGATGTGATGTTTCTGTAACAAACTTCGCTTCCTGATGCACATGAGATCAGTTACGATAAGACTGTCAAGAGATCAGGAGACAAAAAGAAAATANAGAGAGAGAGAGAGAGAGAGAGAGAGCGAGAGAATCGGAGATAGAGAAGGGGTTTTGAATCGGCATTTGTGGGGATCTCTATATTTTGGATCCTCATGATGCCTGATGGTTATTACAGTTCGAAAAAGAGTGATGATATATGTGAAGACGTTTGTGGCCAGGTATGTCCTTATTGCTCGAATAAAGCTTCTTACTTCCAAATTCTTATTTGTTTTGCTTGTTACGAGTTTGGTTTTGTTCTTGAATGTTGAGGATTGCATATGTTCATGGTTTTTATGGATTGAATAGAAGTGGGTCTTTCTTTGGCTGGCCAAACTGTTGCTTCTTACACAGGAATGGTTGATTAAATATAAACCCTAGAAATTTGGATTGATTGGTTTGTTTTTGCTTGGGATTTTTGTTTTCCTGCATAAATTTGTATCGCAATTTGATTGAGAGCGAATTCATGGGTTCTCTCTCTTTTTTTCTACTTGGCAAAGTAGTTGCCTTTCTGAAATTTTTCTGTTTGAATTTTGAAATGGATAATGTATTTGAAAGACATGTCGACATCTATGGTTCCAGATTTTGATTACGAAATTTCAAACGTTTTTGAGGGCCTTTACAAATTTACCAAGGTTGTAAGGTTTTACACAACTCAACAAGGGATTAGGGAACTTTTTTTTTTTTCATGGACATGTAGTAGAAAGTAAATAAAAATTAGGGTCTGCTAACTGGAAATTCTATGGTTTATTCCATCTGGGTATCTTAGAAAGTTATTAATTTTAATCTGCAGCAGGCAACATGTACAGCATTGAGCATGTCAAGACTCCGATGTTTGCTTCAGGGCCTCGATTTAAAGACCTTCATATTTTTGTTTGTAATCGTGCCAACTGGCATTGTTGGTATATATTTTCATGGTCAGAAGATTACATACTTCCTACGGCCTCTGTGGCAATCTCCTCCAAAGCCTTTCATTGAGATACCCCACTATTATCATGAGAATGTGTCGATGGAGACTCTTTGCAAACTTCATGGTTGGGGAATTCGTGATTATCCAAGGCGGGTTTTTGATGCAGTTCTATTTAGCAATGAAGTTGACATGCTTACAATCCGATGGAAAGAATTGTATCCTTATATCTCACAGTTTGTTCTTCTCGAATCAAACTCAACGTTTACTGGTTTGCCCAAGCCATACTATTTTGCTATTAATAGGGATCAATTCAAATTTGTTGAGCCTCGGCTGACTTACGGGACAATTGGGGGAAGATTTAGGAAAGGTGAAAACCCATTTGTGGAAGAGGCATATCAGAGAGTGGCCCTGGACCAGCTTCTCAGAATAGCAGGTATAGAGGATGATGATATGTTGATAATGTCTGATGTTGATGAGATCCCCAGCAGCCACACAATCAATCTCTTGAGGTGGTGTGATAATGTCCCTCATATCCTTCACCTTCATCTAAGGAACTACTTGTATTCTTTTGAGTTCCATTTGGATCATAAAAGCTGGAGAGCTTCCGTCCACAGGTACCAGAAGGGTAAGACTAGGTATGCACACTATCGTCAGACTGACTTCCGCTTGGCAGATGCTGGTTGGCATTGTAGCTTTTGCTTCCGCCATATTAAAGAATTCATATTCAAGATGAAAGCTTACAGCCATAATGATCGTGTGAGGTTCTCTCATTACCTAAACCCCAAAAGGATTCAAGAGGTGATTTGCAATGGAGCTGACCTGTATGATATGTTTCCCGAGGAGTACACATTTAAAGATATCATTGGGAAGCTGGGACCTATTCCTCATTCTTATTCAGCGGTTCATCTTCCTGCCTATTTGTTGAACAATGCTGACAAGTACAACTATCTTTTGCCTGGGAGTTGCAGAAGAGAAGATGGCTGAGTTTCTCTTAGAATGAGGCGCTTTTTCTTTAGAAAATTTCTAGGCTTTAAGTTGCAGATTTTGTGTTGCACCATGAAAGGACCTTATGGGGTGTCTGATGACTGTTGTGTTTAACTAATAGATACAAGTATACCAGTTATCCAACAAACTAGGTCATTTTTTTAGAGAAATTCCGGTAGACTTGGTGGGTTCTTGGATTATTGGGGTTTAACTTGTACATTTTCTGTTTAATGGTCTTGAGTTCTTCTCGGATGGAGGCAAATACTTTTGCCAAGTGAAGAGTTGAGACCCTGAAATTGCAGCAGAATGACATTTTCTCATGCTTTTCTACTATGGGTTCCATTTTCCTCCCTTTTCTATTCTGTTCCATTTTTTCCTCCAAAAAAACCTTATCTATTGGTATATTTCTACGCCTTTTGCTTCCGTGTGATGGGACTGACCATCCATTAATCCTAATCCAGATTTTATCTGTTTTCCATGCTACCTAGATCATAACAGATTTGTTGAGGTGAGGGAGTGGCTTCATGATAAGGGCTCTCTTTTTTTTTTTTTTTTTTTTTTGGGAGGGATAGAGAAAAAGGGAGACTTGAACCCTTGATTTCAAGAAGGTAAAATTTTCACAAGGTAAAAAATGTTATTAGACGAAAGACCCGTTGACTCAAAAGCTTTCACTTTTGCCAACAGGTGTTTGCGGGTTCCACTCCCATTACCTTCTCTTTTCTCTCCCTCTCCCCACAACAAAAAAGAAAAAAGAAAAAGAAAAAGCTAATACCAAAGAAAAACAATGTTCTTTGTTTCTTTAAGTTATTCATTTGTTATGCTCCATAGTCCATACCATTCTCTCAAGTTTATTATTGAGAATTGTACATTTGAGAGGTGAGATTTTTCTCATATCTAATTCTTTCCAATCTAATCAGCTATCACACATTGATAGCAGATTCACTTAAATATATCCCGAGGAAGGTAACACCTATAAAATATCATTAATTTTTTATCAATTTGTTTTAAAAAAAAAACAATATGTTTATGCAATAAGATTTCCACACCAAATGTTACCGCCACAAGGCATGTTTTTAACTTCTCAACAGCTTCCACGAAAGAGCACCCTTTTGTCAACTCCCCTCCCCTTTTTAAACTAAGGATCATTCATACCTATCTCTCTTTTAGGTGGACAACAAAGTACTTTAAACTCACTAAAGGTATTGTTAAATCTATTTGGGATATATAGTTCATGTCACCTAATGTGGTTATTCCCTTCTCCACTTCACCCTTATCAGCAGATTCAATGATAACCACATAATCCTCATATTGTGTTGTGTATAGAGCAACAAAGTGACTTGGTGGTGGAAGTCAATGACACGCCACTCAAATTTTCCGACCAAAACTCCTCTCTCTCTGTCGCCTAAAAGAAATTACATCTGCTGACCAGCTACCCACTCTGTAGTCCTCTGGCCACTGCCTCTTTATTTAATTTTCTTCCGCTCATGATTCGTGCCTCTGACCTGTCACATAAATTCACATAGTTGTTCTCCCGGCAACGGCAAAATCAAAAATTTTGTTTAAAGTGAACAATTTAACTATAATTTTTTTTTTTATTTCGCTCAATAAAAAGTAACATTGCACATTTTAAACTTGTTATATTATATTTAATATTTGATATTCAAACATTCATTAGATACAAAATATTTCAATGTTGATATAATGTATGCAAAGAAAAACAATAAAAAGAGGTTAAATGCGATTATTTGTAATTGATCTCAATAAGTTTTCATATTTTAAAAACATTATATGATAACTATATTATCAATAATATAAATAATATTCTTCTCTATATAAATAATCAAAGCACTTTTTAAATTATGCAACTTAGCACTCACAATTTTCATAATTTAAAAAAATGAATTTAATATATCAAAACTTTGTCTAGACGTGTCCGTAAAGTATAGAATGTGTTCAAAATTTCATAGTTAATTAGGTATATATCTATACTACTTGATAGGAAACATCAATGAAAGGGTAGACATTCTGCCTCAAACAGAATTGCCAGGCCTTCTGAAGCTCATTGTGACCGGTTTCCTCTAACAAAATCTATTCTCATCAAGCGCAATCTACACTTATAAGCATGTCCTGCAACTTAAATTAAGGCATACCCTTCATATTCAAGATTAAGATACTGCACAAACATTTTTTTACACACACACACACAGAACTAATAAGTTCCGAATAGTTTCCATTTTAAGTGATTTATCAGGGTTCATGCAAATGACTTCAACGTCACAATATGCAACAGTCACTAAAAACACTTGAGAAACCCCAACAAAATTGGAAAAAAATACAGATGAAATTGACAAAAAAGAGGCTGAAACACAAATACATTCATGGAGTTACTAAGTTGCTGATTGTCATCGAAATTCCATAGCATTGCATGCCTCTAAGCCTTGTACAACTTAACTAAACTTGACGATAGCATGGGAATGGGGAAAGTCCCGATGACCCTTAAAACCAGGCTCTTCGTCGTTGAAACACATCCCTGAGGAATCAACAGGAGCATCTTTGACATTGGAGAACACAAAATTGGGATTTGATTGCCATTATTGAAAGCTTTTATCTTCACTATAACCGGTCTAACCAACCAAAAATACTGTCTTGAGAACCAAACTGCAAATCCTGCATGCATGGACAAGGAGTTTTACACATTACATAGATTATGAAGATGAGTTTAAGAAAAAGAGTGTGGGCCAAATTGCTCACTGCGAGATGAAAATCTGGTGGAGTATCCAATTCTAAGTTCTCAAGCTCAGCTATGCCAGAGGTAGCATTGCCATCTACTTCAGGCACCTCATTAGTGTTGCGAGGAAAGTCAGTGAAAGGGCCATGATTCAGTCCTGGATCATTAAGAAGGGCATAAGAATCGAAAACCTCATTGCATAACAAGGCGTCATCTAGGCCATTTATATTTACATCTTGTGGCTCTCCAGCCAACCAGGTGGGATATTCCATTTCATCCTTGATTTGTGCAGCAGATGAAGAAGGATGTGATGTTTCTGTAACAAACTTCGCTTCCTGATGCACATGAGATCAGTTACGATAAGACTGTCAAGAGATCAGGAGACAAAAAGAAAATAAAGACATTCTTGCACTTAGAGAGGCTTCTTGTCTGAACCCAAACCAAGTATGGTTTGTTTAGCTTAAGCTTATTCTAGCAATTTCCTTTAGAAATTCAAAAATGAAGTCCACATTGTCATTTAACATTGTAAGTATCCTTTTTAATCTTTCCTTTCTATAATTGAGCAAGAGCTTCAATTTAAACATCGATATTTTCCTGTTCATTGCCTAAATAACAATAGTACGTTCCATGTTCTGGCAAGAACTACAATTTAAACATTGATATTTTCACAGTCATTGCAAAAATTAAAAAAGGTACGATCCACCGACTTTGGGGAAAGCCACAGGTGTCGTGTTTTGACAATTGACATAAACAGTGTGGCAGATATGGCACCATTTCAAAGTCTAGACAAAGGAACAAGGCATATGTTGCCTTTGTAATCTACACGACATTTACATTAACTTCAGCTTGAGAGTACCTAGATGTGCAGAAATATTAACAACTCTTAAATATCTTTTTTGAACAAGAGGCAAATAACTCATCCTTTAACAACATTATTACGGTGATGAAAAGCCATTCCCCACAGTATCAAAGAAGAGTTGGAAATGGCAGGTCATTTGTGTTGTGACATTTGTATCCAAACATGTATAGTCTGTGGACATCTCATAGTTAATGGTGCCCAACAACAAAGAACTTTGGCTAAGCATCCAGATAATTGATAAATGAGGCAAAAGGGTTCTCAAACAAAAGCATGTAATCGGAATTTCCAACTACCTGGACAGGTGACGGGAGTACATAATCATCTGTGACATCATCAGGTGAAAAAGATTTCCCAGGGCGAGGTGGATTGGGAGTAGTTGTCTTGGGTGTCCGGGGACTAGTTCGTATTGTTCCAATATCAGATTCTTCAACAACTAGAGACTTCTCATCCTTGTCGTTCTGCTTCTGGTGCTGATAAAAGACTTTTGAAACCACATACTGGCCTTCTTTCTCATCTTCATCAATCCCTAGATGGTATTGATGCATAACCCAATTAGACTTACCAGGTTTGGATCCCTTCTTTGAAGTTTGATAAAGAACCATGATCTTCTTATATCCTTTCTGGACTCCATTCTCCATCAAAGGCCTGGTTTTACCTGTCTTATGCCAACGGACATGCTCCTTTATCATATTATGTTCATCACAAATCTTGCGGCGCTTCCTTTTACCAGAAGCATATGCATTGATAATTTTGCAAAAGAAATGGACACTGCTTCCATCTTTTTTGGCACCTAACATAAACCAGAGTTGACTTAAAAATGATACATCACATATTATTGACGAACTCTTGGTTCACAACACAATCACAGAATGGGTAACCAATGTAAGACCAACTGAAGATGAGAAAGCAGACAAACTGACAAATTCTTGTAAGGTTCAACCCCTGGAAGAGAAATAAAAAAATGAAGGGACCAGGAGTAACTGACCAAGGGACTATACAATCTTATGACCAAGAAGGTTGATAAACTGAACTCTCTGTTTGTTGCAGGTTCATCTCGTGGAAGATGCAAGTAATGCTATATCAGGCAAGATATTTTCAACAGACCGAAATTTCCAATTGAACACAAATTAAAACTGAGAGCACCTAGTCTAAAGAAGTAGTACAATTTCACCGTGTGGGTACTAATCTATGCCCATGAAACGGAGGTATCTCCTAGACTCCTAGTTACAATTTAGTGGCCTCACAACACAAGCACTATGCAGTCCTCATTATACTGTGTTCAATTGAAATTATTTGCAGATTCTCACCCAATTAACATGAATTGAATTAGTGATCACCACACTGATAGAAATAAAATCATTTAAGTACATATCTAAAATTGGAAGCTTGCTCACCAGGAAGATTTTCTGGATGGGTAGAACAAATTCCCTCGTCACCTTCAAGTGTTGGGATGAACTCATCAATAAACATGTGAGGTTTTAAATTTCCCACTCCACATTTTGCAGCTAAATGTTCTAGGATTTCTACATCAGATGGATCAAATTTTACTCCGGCAGGCAAACCAGGCCATTCGTTACAGACCTGCACAGGAGAAAATCATCAGAAAATCAAAACCAAGGGTAACTTTTACCTTTAAAATGGATCTCTTATATGCCATTAAACCAACGCAACACACACTCTTTCATGCATATATACCAACATTTGGGGAAAGGCAAAATCAATATTGTAATGGCATTAGGCAATAGCATGAACTACTAATGGTATCATATCACCCTACGAGATTATATTAGTCACTGTTTTGCAGAAGCCATGGTCAATAGTTCATCAAGGTGCATTACTCCACAAGAAAGATAATTCTTCCAAATGTAAGTGAATGGGCCAGAAAGAGGCTAGTTAGCAAATTCACAAAAAAAGCTTGTGCTTACATCTTTGTTATCAATATGATAATGGCACTTTGGGCATTCACGATTTGCCCCACAGTCCTTGATCTGATATGCAGTTGGTAGAGTGGCATTTTTCACTTTCTTGGCAAGTCCTCTGCTGTCAATAAGCCAAGACCTGCATCAATTAAATATACTTAGTCAAGATAGACTGTTAAAAACAATCTAGTGGTCCACAAAGAAGAAGAGGCATATGAAAGCAACAACAGGAGGATAAACCACAGCACTTGAATGAGAAGCAAATAGGCAGACAATTCTTAGGAAAGAACTACAACTCAAAAGGGCGTGCTAGTTAATACGTGACCATTCGAAGTAAATGGCTTAAATGGCATACAGATATAATTAGCTTGTGGTAAATAAACTGTTAGTAGTACTAGTTTTTATCAATAAATAGGACCAAGTGTAACAGGGAATCTCTTTGATACCAGTAATATGAATAATCAATCATCAATTTGAAACGTAACACTTGCAAAATTAGAACAATTAGTTGAACCGCATAGGGAAAGAAATATGCACACGAAGATGATGCAACTACCCAATAGAAATACATTGCATTTCCTTCCCCCAAATGCATAAATTATGGGCATGGTTGCTACGTACTGATTGCTACGTACAATTGAGTGAGGATTGATTGCCTTGCTTTTTGCTTAACACAGTTTTTGAATGAGGTGTTTTGACAAGGAAGTCTTTTAATGAAAAATCCAGGGTTTTAGACAATCAGTTGCACATCAGGGACTTGATCTTCCATCTGATAAATTATTACATATCCTCAATTATGTACTAAGAAAGTCTTAAACATGGGTAAACCTCAAAACAATAATCAAGCAAAATTTTTGTTTTCCTTACATGGTTGTCGCATATGAAAAACAGAACATCCACTAGGGATGATTGGTCATCACAAAGATAAAAATACTGTAGTTTAGAGCACCCAATAAACTAAAAATAAAAAGAATAAAAAATGCTGGGTAATTTTTTTTGTTGAAAGTCGAAACAAGCCCAGTGCGATGAAGTTGCTGAATCCAGCTCTTGATAAAACAAGAAATCCATGTGATCACATGGGCTTTCAAGTGATCACACAAGCATCATTATCNGTGCGATGAAGTTGCTGAATCCAGCTCTTGATAAAACAAGAAATCCATGTGATCACACAAGCATCATTATCTAGGTATTTTTCCATCTGGGTTTTTCCCAATCAAACCGAACACAGAAGCAAAACACAGTGTAGTAGTCGAAAGAAAAGCGATTGATTTTGAACGAAAAAAGAAGTGAAAACAATGGCAAAGAATTTGTCAAAATCGATTTTAAAAGACAGAAACATATCTACCTTGGCATTGTTTCAGCACAGCGACTCAATACAGAGATAACAGAGCATTTGAGAGAGATAGAGAAGAAGGAGAAGAAGAAGCTGAGTTGTGTGTGTCGAACACTTCACTCTTCTTTACTTGTCTACAGAGAGAGTGTGAATGGACGGAAGAGCGGGAAAGCTTAGGTGTGGTTCTGTTATGAGAGACTCGTACACCAAGGCTGAGCTTGGACACGAATCTCAGTTCACCGAGGCTCCGAGCCTCGGTGTTTTGCATTGTCCACCGTTGAACAAAGCAGTTTCGAGCCTCGGCTTCGGATACCGAACGAAGTTTTGTGACCACTAAGCTTGAGTGTTTTTCTTCGAAAATCGAGTCCTGATGTTAAAATGGTAAATATGGTGGGCCCACAGCTACTTAGTCCCCAAGCAAAGATTGAAACATTAACGACTCCTCTTTTGACCTCCTATTTGCCACGCGTTTTCCAACCGACGTTCTTTTTGCCTTGGTGGGAGATTTTGAGTTTTTCTTTTAAGTTGTTGTAATTTTTGATATATATATTTTTAGGATAAGTTTACTTTTTTTTTTTGGGTATCTACTGTTAATTATTAATTTTGGGATTAATTTATAAATTTGTAAAATTAAATTATAATTTTTTAGGATGCCTATGATCGATCCTCAATGAAATGTTATGATTAATTATAAATGCCATAAAAAAATTATAATTTAACCTAAAATTTAATAATTTTATCCTAAAATGTTATAACGTAAAATTGTTATATTAAAAAATTTATATTACACCTTACGTATAAACATCTCCTTCTCCGTCAAGTTGATTTAAAAAGATATTATTTAAATTTAATTTATTATTCTAATATATTATAGATATTGAATTTATAACGAGTTCTAACTAATAATAAAGTTAACCGAATGATAGATGAGGAATTAGATTTAGTCAAATATAATTTTTTATGGTATTTGGGATTGATGTTAAATATTTCAAGATCAATCCTAAATACCACAAAAAGTTATAATGGGAAATTGTTATGTTGGAAAATTTATATTACTCGTTGCATATGAACATCTTCTTCTTCGTCCAGTTGATTTTAAAAAAAATATTTAAACTTAATTTATTAATTTAATGCATAATTGATATTGAATTTATAATGGTTCCATTCCAATAGCTTCGTCGACGTAACCTTAAGGACATTGCAGTAAGGTTTATTTTATACTTAAATTTAAAAAAAGAGACTTTTAGCAATTAAGTCGTTGTAGTATAGTGGTGAGTATTCCCGCCTGTCACGCGGGTGACCCGGGTTCGATCCCCGGCAACGGCGTAGTTCTACAATTTTGAACAAGCTCATGGTTGGTTGAAAACGTCGTCGTATTCAACAAGTTCGTAATTGGGCCAAAAGAGAAAAAGGCCCAAGGATCAAAAATAGGTTCAAACCGAACTATACTACCCAGTGTCGTGTCATTCTCGATTCCCCTGTTCATCATGTAGCCCAAAAAGAAAAAGNCGTCGTATTCAACAAGTTCGTAATTGGGCCAAAAGAGAAAAAGGCCCAAGGATCAAACCTGTTCATCATGTAGCCCAAGCAAGACAATGTTTTAATTCCATACATAGGATCAACTTATTGTTTACATTAAAAAAAAAAAGTTAGCAAATATGAAGCCAATAAATATTTTTTTTTATGGCGAATCATAGAAGTCGTCTAATGAAAAATCCAAGAGAACTGTTTCTCCCTTAATTTCCCAATAATCAAATGCAATTTTGTTTTTGTTTTTTTGGAAGTGCATTATCAAAAGTTAACTCTAATGAAAAATAGGGCTATTTTTAATTTGTAAATATTGTAGGTGACTAATGTGGGTGCCAATGATTTAATATGCATAATAATGAAAGATAATAAAAAAAAATTACAGTGCCAATAACACAATTTTTTTTTTTGGGTGGGGGGGGGGGGGGGGTTNGGGGGGGGGGGGGGGGGGGGGGGGGGGGGGGGGGGGGGGGGGGGGGGGGGGGGGGGGGGGGGGGGGGGGGGGGGGGGGGGGGGAGTTTCTCTTATTTTCTACCAAACCATAAACAAAGATTCCTGAATATCATGAGACCAATACTTATGTTCCGTTTGAGATGATAGAAAAATAGAACAATCAAAAGTTTGAGAGATAAATAAAATATCATATTTGGTAAGAAAATATGAAGGATAGAAAAGTGGATGAATTAATTTTCCTTCCAACTCATCAAAATCAATCCCTCTAAAATCGGAAAAAAAAATGGATGAAAAGTTAATTATTTGTGTTGAGATATATCTTATTTATCTATATATTATGTATAGATTAATTTCATATAAAAATACAATGATAATATATATATATATAATTAAAAAATTTTAAAAATTAAAAAAAAATAATTTTTTATCTTAACTAGGGGTGAAAATTTTCGATTTAACACGATGACACGACTCAAACTCGATACGAATTTTATGATATGAACTTGATTATAACTCGACACAAACTTAAAAATGACCTGACACGCGAACAAAAAATATAAAAGACTTATAATTTTATGATTCAACATAAATCTGACATGACAGGATTCGATTGTTATTTGTCACCCATAATCTTTGCCAATAAAAAAAAAATTAGTCATTTTTTATTTTTCATCTATCCAACTAAACACAAAGGAAACATAGTGTATCATTCTTACTTTCTATCCTTGAAGGATAGAAAGTGTATCCCTCCTACTTTCTATCAGTCTTACCAAACGAAACATTAGGTAAATTGATTATATACGCGCGCGCGCGCGCACATGCACACACACACAATTATTCTAACAATTGTTTGTGCTTCACAAAAAATATTGTTTAACAAAAACATATTTATATTTACACCCAACACCAACCATGGATTATAACAATTCATCAAAGAAATTAGCTTTAAAAAAATTAAAATACATTAATTAATTTATATTCACATCCAAAACTTACATCCGAGAGAGATTAAGAAGCTTGGGGACTAAAGCTGAAACTAAAACCATATATATCTATACTAATAATAAAAATAATTTAATATAGAAAATGTTTGATTTATTGTTTTACAATTATAAAGAATTATAAAAGTCATTCTATCATTGCATAATTAAATATTTAAATTACAATCATATTATTATGTGTTTAAATCTCTAAATTATTATCTAACATATATTCTAATTATTTATGTATAAATATCAGTATCTATAAAAAAATTTAAATTGATTATATTACCCTTAAAAAATATTCATCAGTATATTTTATTCCAATTAACCTAACTAATTCTTAATTATGGTAAGGTTCTAATATGATTAGAATATTGATAATTATTTTTATTTTACTCAATGAATTATAAGTAGAATCTTAACTAAATGAATTTCAAAAAATTTAAATTTTCAAATATCACTAAGAAAATCACTCTCAATCCAAAAATTATATATAAAAAAAAAACTTTAATTATTACTTTTTTTTTTATTTTTCTTATAGTTAGACTAATGAATCATTGGGACAATCAATGTCTTTATACTTATATAATACAATTTGAACGATAAAAAAATAAATTTTGTAACCTTTAGATGATATTTAATTTAAAAATATATACCTACTATTTTTTATTTATAAAAATTCTTTAAATGCAACGCACAAAGTACATTGTTAATACTTAACATGTCCCCCTCTTCCAGGTCCATGATCCATCACAAGGAAAATAAAAACCAAGATCACTCTTCGTGCACAATGTCACAACCCCACCTCGGATCACATAGGGTGAGCAGTGGACCGGCCACTAAGGGCTTAACCAATTAATCATGTGCATAATAAATACAAAATACAGCGGAAGACAAATAATAAAGTGATTCATTTCACTGATCTAATAAATACTAGAGGAATAAACTAAATATCACCAACATCATTATTAAACTCATGTAAAACAATAACTAAACCATAAAGTTCACTACTCTAAAGTCTAAACATGAGCAACATTAATCCAAAAAATAATTAAATATTTGTCTCAAAACCATAAAAGACATTTATTCCTGAAGACCTACAATGAAATAAATCTTCAATCATTCTAATCCTTTGTCAATTCGAGGACTTACTCCTCCCCCTGATCCTCACCTGAAAATTATTAAATATTTGGGTGAGTACAAAAATCAGTGAATAGCAACCACCTCTAATGAGGTGTAAAAATAAATTTCACATTTTATATGCAAAAATAAATTTTGTTATATACATAAGTACAACAAATTGTACTTTAATCCCTTCCACATAATCATGTAAACAAAATGATCTCCTGATCATAAATAACTTTATAAAAATAAAGATATTTATAACTCAAACACCCATTCATTTTTACAAATAACTTTATAAATAAAAGACATTTATAATTCAAAACACTCACTCACACACACACACACACACATTCAATTTCAAATATATTTGTCAAATCATGTTTGTTACCACTAGCCTCATCTCTTGTCATTACTAGTCTGATGACTGACCCCGTCTCTTGTTATCACTAGCTTGATAACTGGCCCCTATGTGCACATCCATATACCAACCACGCCGATATACAATCTCGTTACCATTTACACCTGGTAACTTAGTCCTCTTCTCATAAAACCCGATTTTAACACACACTAAAACTGTTATTTTAGTCTCAACGCACACAAATTTTTTATTTCATCATTAAAACACATTTAAGCAATAATATAAAATCCTTCCATAAGGTTTTCAAATTCACATATATAACAATTCACAATTACAAAACATTTAATTGCAATTCCAAATATCAACATATATCATATATATGAAAAATTCACACACACGCACTCACAGTTTAATATAGAAAATTCTCCCAATAGAAGTAGTAAACTACTCACCTTGATTCCCAAAATTCAATTCAAAAAACTCTTTCCAAACCTCAATTCAATCACCACCTAATCCAAAATAATATATAACAATCAATTCTTATTCATAATTTCGTCATTTCGTGATTATATATTCAAATAATAATTTTTAAAACTTTTGGGGGCCAAAGTGTAATTTGTGAAAAACGAATTTTCTGTTTTCGGGCTTGCCATAAATTTTCCAAAATTTTGTTCTTGTAATTTA